CTCTGGCAACATGTAGAACAGATAAATAATATACATTCCTTATGGTTTCCTATTGATGTCCCATAATTCCACATTAAAAAGGAAATAAAGTGATAAAATATATGGTTTCACTAAACATTGGTCTTTATTTTTTGTGGAATCAATCTGAAGTGGCCAGTTCGGGCTGATCTAGTTGTTCTGTACTTCTAGTTTTCCAGCATACTTTCATCATTATTTTTAATGAACTGGTTCAAAAAAAGGTTTTCAGTCTGAAGTGGTTCATACGGGTGTTGCGTGGCTGTTGTCTCGTGCCATGAGATCTTTGAAAGGGTTTTCCATTTGAAAGCCATCTTATAGCATTGCCTTTAAGGGTAAGAGTAGGGGTGGGCATGGGTTGAATTGGGTTGGGTCGGTTTTTGCTTCAACCCAAACCCAACCCAACATGATCAGTTTGATTAAAACTTAACCCAACCCAACCCGTGTAAATGTTGAAACTCAATCCAACCTAACCCAATCAAGTATCGGTCGGGTTGGATTGGTCAGTTGTGAGGACTTGTCAATAAAAATTAAAGAGATTCATTAATCAACCCAACCAATATTGACTATACGTTAATTTACACTTGGAAAATAGAGTTTTTTGAACAATAGTATTCTTACTCCTTAGTTTATTTAAATAAAAATAAATAAAAACTAGAAAACTTTCACATAATTTTTGTAAGCTTCCACTTTGTGCAGTGTCATTAGCAGTTAGAAGAAAAAATAAAACTTGCGAATCGGGTGCTGCAATGCTGCATTGTAAAGCTTCTGTAGGAAAAAAAAACCATGTACATCCTAATTATTTTCAAAATATATTTTTCTCTCTTTTATTTTCAAGTACACATTTTTCAATAAAATAATATTACACGTAAATCCAATTTTTTTAATTTTTTAATCACATATTCTCTATCAATCTATTATTTTAAAATACATTCTTCAAATGAAAATGGAGTTCACACCAACACTCGTAGTATTCTCCTTTTAGTCCACGGACTTGTGTAAGATTATTTTACCATTGAGAAGTTATTGTGCATCAGATATTATATGTAGCAGTCTTTCCCAGCGTGGTGGAAGTTTTCTAGCTCCCCGGCGTGGTGGACGTTTTTTCTCCTTCCTCAGTGAAGGTTTTCTTCTCTTCCGTTCGGTGAAGGCTTGGTTTCGGTCGTTGGGCGCTTGTTGGGGGGTGGGAGCTTTGGCTCCCCCCTTCTTCCCCTTTCCTTTGTCTTTTCCCCTTTTCCGTTTCTCTCTGTTTTTGGTTGCCCGTGGTTCCTCTGAGTTTCAGGCACCATGTTGGGCGGAGTGGTGGTGAGGTCGGTGAGCTCTGGTGGTGGTGAGTTCGGCGTGGACGCTGTTGCTGTTGGGGTTATGCCGACGGGCCTTTTTTGGCTGGTCTTCAACGTTTGGCGAGGGTTTGGCTTGGTGGTGTGTGGTTGGTTTTTTCTTGGTTGTTGTTTGGTGGGTTTGCTTTTTTGCTGCTGTTGATGGTGTTTTTTGGCGGCGATTGGGCGGGGTCGGTGGTGTGACTGGCGGAGTTCCGTAGGTGGCGCTTGTGTGGGCTTCGGTTGGGAAGGGCGGCGATCGAGGATTGGCAGGTTTTTGGTTGGGCTCGGTTGTGCGCGTTTTTTCCGGTGGGGGCCGATGGGAGGGCAGCTGCTAATGGAGCTAAACAAGTGGGCCTTTTTGGACTGGTTCTCCAGTTTGGGCGTAGATGGTGTTGGTGGTGTTTGGTGGTTGTTTTGTGTTGTTTGGTGGTGTTTTGGATGTTTTGTTTTGGTTTTGTTGTTGTGGTTATTGGGTTGCTGTTGTTTTGTTGTGTGGTTTGTTTGGCAGTGTTGAAGTCTAGACAATGCCCGTTTCCTTGCGTGCAGGGGTGCTCAAGTGCTGAGTGCGTAGTTGATTTTACGTTGGGTTTTATCGCCTGGGTAAAGTCGCAGATGTTTTCCGACTTCTTGTGCCGTTGTTATTGTTGGGAGGTGTATAGTTTGTTTGTGCTTGAGTCATTTTTTGTGGTTTGTGGTTGTTTCTTGGGCTGTGGTAACACTTTATCTCTCTTTGGAGAGCGTGTGTTGGAGGTCTTTCTCCTTGTATCCACTTTGTTTGCCTTCTTTGGAATATATTGATACTTTTCCTCAAAAAAGATATTATATGTAGTAACTTTTTACTTTCCGACCAATATTATCATAAATATTGTCAGGCATTCATAAAAAAATAGTAACAAAGTGAATCATGCTATATAAAGTCAAAGTAGAAAAAGAAAGTGTAAATTAACGAACAAAAAGTAAGGTTCTCTTTACATTTTAGACATTTTATTTTATTTTTTAAAGAGGCGAGTCGGGTTGGACGGGCTTATTCGATTTTCATGAGTTAACCCATAACCCGACCCGACCCGACCCGATCACATAGCCAACCCACGCAATCCGTGTAAAAACAAGAAAAAACGAACCCAAACCGGTCGAGTTTGTTCGGCTTGGGCAATCTTGGCTGTTTCGATCGGGTTTTGCCCACCCCTAGTGAAAACATACGGATGGATATGGGTCGATTTTGTGCGTTTATATATATATATATATATATATATCATGACGACATTTATGCATGTGGAAACTACACGACTAGAAAAGGAAGAAAATTTCAGGCAAGTTTTGTTAATTTTTTTTTTCACCCCTTGATTCAGTCGTTGCTAAATATACAAGGATTGCATTTAGACCTTCAATTTTATTTATTTATTTTATGTATTCAACGTATTCCTATCGTTACTCATATAAATAATCGTAAACTAAACACGCCATGTGAACAATAGACAAAATTACAACTGGCATAGAAATGTGGACGACCCGACTCGACGTATGCTGAGGCATAATCCATCTGAAGCTATTTGGTCTGATCCCCTTTGGAAGAGGTCCTCGGTACGAAACCCACCCCTAGAGAGGCGGTATGTCAACCACAGTATACCTCGTGAAGTGATTGACAAGACAACACACTGCAAGCGCCGCTTCTACGTACCTACACTATCGGATCCTTAGCCTGCAAGTGGGGATCTTAGCATTAAATGGCTTGATTAACTGATTGATTGACGTCAATAAGGACTATTGGATCTAATATACACATGTGCTTGTCCATCAACGGGCTTCATTCCCCGTTACACTTAGTATAAAAAGCTACACTTAACACCATTGAAATCTAATGCAAGTTTACACATTCAAAGTAAACATTGACTCTTTCTGCTACACTCCACGATCGATGATGAAAGTTCAAGCTGGATGATGATGATGAAAGTTTGCCATTCTTCCAAGAACTGAGGAGAGCCCCAGTCCCTGTTAAGATTTGTGGTTCCATATTAAAAGGTCAACCTTATTAAGAAAAGTAGCCCAAACATTTATAAATTGGTCCGTGTTTTTATCTTTATTCGATGTGGGATTCCATCCCTTAACATGCCCCCTCAAGATGGTGTCTCGTTTTAGCAGACTAATCTTGAAATCCGTGCGCTCAATTTTTTTGAGTCTTAATCGGATCGAATTGCTCGTTAGAGCTTAATGAGTTTTGATCATGGGCGAAGATAGGGGTGGGTTGTAGCCTACCCTTGCCCAAGACCAGGTCCTATAAAAATTTTTTTTGATCAAAGCCCAAGTTTTCCACTTTCTAGCCTAATAGCCCACCGTCCAAGTCCAACCTAGCCCAATTCCCACATAAAACTAAACCCAATTCCCACCCAATTAAACCCAATTCTCGCCCTAGCCCATGAAAATGACTTAAAATCCCCAATTAAACCAGAGAAACCAGCGCTGCACAAGATTCGAACTCCACAGTCTCCTCTCCAAACTCAATCCGTTCGACCGTTAGCTACTTCCAGCTGCAGCCATTGACGATTTCTTTCTGCCAGGCCCTATTGGCGATTTCTTTCTGTCACCAGCTTCCAGGGAGCTTCAGCATTTGAGGTGAATCATTTTGTTTTTGTTTCTTTTACTACCTCTATATTTTATGTGTATACAGTCACAGGTATAAATATATAATCGTATTAATTTTTAGAAATGGATGTTTATTTTGGAGTTGGAAATAGAATGGTCGGAATGGTAGTTTTATTTTGGAGTCGGAAATAGACTAATAGTTCGTGTTCTTGTAGTCTTGTAGAGCTATAGTTGTAGGGTATTTCCCAGAATTTATCCTATAAATATGTTGTGCAATTATAATAAATTCTAGATTTATTTTCTGGAAAGTGTTTTTGGCATTGTTTTGTTCAATAGGTAATAAATTTATACTACAGAGAAAATGTTATTTTCTGGAAAGTGTTTTTGGCATTTGTTTGGCATTGTTTTGTGCTTTAGGATTTAGGCATTTTTTTAGGAAATGTTAGTTTAGAAATTTAGTCAATAGCAATTTATTTAGGAATTTATAGGATATTGAAGTTTTTTTGATATTTCTACTCTTGCGTATAATATGGAGGAAGATCGACCTTCTTTCAAGATGCCTAAATCTTTCAAGTTTTTTTTTGATATTTATGCTCTTACGTATAATACGGCGGGTGCAGACCGCGTGGTGCGCGTTACATTGTTTCATTAGTAACTGAGCATGTTTCATTGTTTTGCAACATTATGCTTTTGAAGTGTTTGTGTTGTACTTCAAGTTTTTCATTTTTATTTTTTTCCTTACAGAGAATTGCAATAGCATATATTCTAGCAGCAGCATGTGAAATTTGGCTTAGGAGCGATGAAAAAGTTAACTCAGAATTATCTTTGCTAAAGAAATATCAAAAGCAGTGGTAAGTTCTAGCTCATGCCTAAATTTTTGCATTTTGAAAGTGTTGAAGAATATTATCTTGTGATGTCTATTGCAAAGCTGTGTTCCAACTGAAGGAATCACGTGAAATAAGTATTGGAGACATTGTGCAATTTGATAAACCATTAGCTTCTTAGTAAAATGAATTGCATCTCTAGGAGTTAAGCATGTTATTTCATCCCGTAAAATTATATGACAATGCTTGTAGAAAACCTATGAACTGCATAGAATCATCTCTTAGACTCAAAAATTTTATTCGTACATTACACTTTAAAAATTTCAGCCCCCCGTATGATCAATTCCTGGCTTCACCCTTGGCTTTGATACCATGTTAAGATTTGTGGTTTCATCTTAAAATGTAAACTTTATTGAGAGGAGTAGCCCAAACTTTTATAAATTGGTCCATGTCTTCATCTTTATTCGATGTGGGATTCTATCCCTTAACAGTCCCTAACCACTTTGCGCCACCAAAGATACCTAAGTATGAAGGGGGAGGTGACCCTGCAAAACACCCTAGCAACTATAAGACTCAA